TATCCTCCTTCTGCAAAACTGTTCAAATACTTTCGCCGTGAGGGAAATCACCCCATCTCACCAATGTCATATATACTCTGATTTTGTTCCAGGAGTCAGGGTCCATCTGCACATTTGAAAGATGATGGTAGTACAACCGCATCCCCTCCCTGGAGATGGAGGGTTCATGTCTGGCACAAGCTTCGGGACTTTTAAGACAGTATTTAAAAATGAAGCCCAGATAGCATGACACATTGCAAAGATGCAAAGAAAAGGCTTTGTGCTAAATCTGGGGATCAGATTCAGTGGCAGCAAGTAAAAAGAAGGTTGCAGGAGGAACATGTTTTTCACTTGCCCCAAGATAATATTTTTTGATTCCTATGCTCGGCCAAAACTCTTTGTTGGGGGAGAAATGTGTGAAAGATGCTGGGAAACAGCTCGTTTCTATTTGGTGCTCATAATTCATGCAGCAAGAGGATTTTGCTGGCAGTGGTTTTGGTAGAGGAGCAAATAAGAATGATAGCTGAACTGACTTGGGGATTGCTGGAGGACATCATATTTATGTCAGTAGTGCAGACTGGCCCGAGTCAGTGGTGACCTTGTGCTGCTGAAGGGCTGTTGAGGGACTGGAGGAGTATGCTAGGTCCCAAACTGGTCAAACTACAGACCCTGCTGTAGGAAAACTAGGCATGGGTACTCTTCAGTGTAAGGACTGTGGACACCAAGAGAACTGTGATAAATCATTTGCACCGGCTTCTAATGCAAAAAGTTTTTACTGTTCGGGTTTTTTGTTTGGTTTTCTTGAGGACAGGGAAGGGGCTGAGCTAACTCTCTAGGCTTTGTGTTTTACAGTAGATCTTGTGTGAAATAGAAATCTGGCATGGTCTGTTTAAAAATTCTGTGGCAGGTTTTTAGGCTGCCTCTTGCTCAGGACAGAACTGCATAGGTATACATTTCAGACCGTGGTGCCCTTGAATATCAAACCTGCGGCTGTGTCTAACGTGTCTGCAGAGAGCCTTTATTTATTCTCCTTTTGCTGCTTAGATTCATTTACATTCAGTAGGATATCATGTTGCAGTGACACTTCACCTGGCTGTAACAAATGCAAGTGGTATATCTTTTCCTCTATTTTTAAAATGCTGATTTGAAAGGACGGCAACTCAGAAGCAGTTTGCTGATGTGAACATTGTTTAGCGGAGTAGTTATCCACAAGTCTGTCTGAAATGCTGACAAAGGGATGTCATGAATAGCTTACAAATCTTCTCCTTGAGGAATAAATTGTATATCAAATTATCTGTTCCTGATTTGTCCATCATTACTGCATATGCATGGAACGGCTGTAGGTTATGTCCTTCTGAAGGACGTAATTATATATGTCCTTCTGAATTATACAGTAGAAATCATCAGTACAGTAAAACAAGATGTTGCTCTCAGTGGTGTCTGCAGCCTGAGGAGCAACGAACGGCATGCGCGGCTGTGGGCGAGAGGCTTTCAGGTGAAGGCTTGCACCTCTGACGTTTGTCTTCAGTTGGGCATTTTTACAGAGTTAAGATCATTCTCAAAACCTTGAGTAAAAATACAACTGTTAATCAAACGGTTAAAAATTAGCTTTCTGCACATACAACCTTGCTTGAACAGTTTCGCTGCGCTGCCGCCTCTCCCTGTTGATAGATGTGTTTGACCAACCTTAGAACAAGTATTTTTTATTAGTCTTTACATATGAAATGAGATTCCTTCCTTTGAAAGTTTGTCTTAGCAATTTGATCACTGTGGACAAAAATAGCTTTTACAAAGACACTTAGACTTCTTACAACAGAAGAATTGCTGAGGAGAAGTGAGGAGAGGGATGGGACTGTGCCCGTGGCTAAAACCAGCTCTAATTGCAGCTGTTCAGTGCTGAGACTTTACCCTGAATAACCATCTGTCATGAGATGCTCTGTCCTTGTCCTTCTTTTCTTATCTTGCTTCTGGCGTTTCTCTAAGAGAATAATGTCAGTATCCCAGGACTCTACCACTGCAGAGACAGATATGCTAGATTTTAAAAACTTCATTTCTGGGTGAAAGTCTATCTGTGGCATTGGCTTACAGTGAAATGCCAGCAGCAAGTGAAATGGAGGCCATGACGT